TTTATCATTATAAAACATTTTATAAAAATTCAATTAAACTATTTTAATTTCTACATCATATTTTAATACAAATAAATTAAAATAAATCAAAACTTATAGACAAAAATCAAAATGTCCCAATCATTTATCACTTTAATAAATTTATCAATAACATTATCAATATCAAATAATTATATCATAAACATAAAACACTCAAAATTTTTCATTATGAAAATGAGGGGCATACATGTTAAATTTTTTTTTACTCGATATTTATGAGTAAATAAATTCAGTCAATAAAATTTATGATAATTATCCCAAATATATATATGAGTGGTGTAATCATTAATAAATAAGAAAAGGAAATTAGCTATAAACTCCTTTTACCTTCCTTTCATTGTTAAAAGGACTAAGAAAAAAATTATACTTTCTAAACCCCCTCATAATTATAAAGTCTTGCATAAAGGACAAAATTTATTATTTAAATATTTTATAAGACTATTATACCCTCAACTTCTGCATATATAATCAGCTTCGTCATCAATTGTATCATAATCACCATAGTTGCATCTTCCAAGCTTCAGCAGAGGTCGTCGACAAGCCGCCGCCATAGTAGCGTCTTCCAAGCTTCAGCAGAAGGTCCTCTCTTCATCTTCATAATCAGCAACGATGAGGCTTTGAGTATGTTGAAATTGAATGGAGATGTCGTTGGAGATTCGAAAGCTAGGTTTCGGAGCAGATGGAGATTCGGAGTGCGGTGGAGATGGCTCAATTGGAAGCGGAGAAGAAAACATGATGAGGTTGTTGATGAGATGCTGGCGATGTGAATGCGAAGGCTGAAGCTTCGAGATTGAAAGAAATTGAACAGGAGGTTGGGAAGGATGTGGATGAGGAACAGTAGAATATATATAATATATATATATTTGTGTGTTATGAGGTCGTGTTGAACACATGTATTCTTTTTCATTGAGATGTGTGGATTGTTAATCGAGTTTTAGAAGTTTTCGTTTCAATTAGATATGTGGATTTGTTAATTAATTTATTTTGTTTTTGTTTGTTTATTTTTTTTTGAAGTTTTTTTTTCTCAATTAGATATGTTGATTTGTTGATTAATTTGTTTGTTTTTGTTTGTTTGTCTGTTTTTGATTTATTTTTGTTGTTTTTTTATCTAATTTCATTTATATTGCTCTGTTTTTTCATTTGACAGAACCAGAGTTAAATTTTACTTTTATACAGAGTAAAATTTTACTTTTGTGTAGAGTCTAACATTTTACTAGTTTTTCAGAGTAAAATTTTACTTTTAGTTTCAGAGTGTAACATTTTACTCGTATTCAGAGTAAAATTTTACTTTGAGTAAAATTTTACTTTCATACAGAGTAAAATTTTACTTTTAGTTTCATAATGTAAAATTTTACTTTTATACAGAGTAAAATTTTACTCATACAGAATACTCTGAAATATATAGTGAAAATGGCATAATAGGAGAGCTGATAGATATGAGGGGAATATAATAAAAAAAAACAAATTTTAAAAATATTAGGGTGTTTTGAAAATACTTATATAATTCTTATTCTTTTGAAAGACAAATTAGACAGTGAGGGGACTACCACCACATCCCCAAACATAGGATTTTCTTGGTGGACTCGCTCATCATCCTCGATAGTTGCGTATCTTACATATCACTCTAATGCCAACTAATTAGAAGTCAAATCAATGAAAATTTGGACCATGATTATACATTTATTTCTTTTTCACCCTGGCTTAAGTGTTGACATCCACAGCCTTTGCCAACTCACACTTTAGCACATATATTTGGATATTTTCTCTAAAGCTTTTTTTTTTTTTAATAATTATTTTAGTAGTGGTTTTGGTGCTATATGTCTTCGTTTGATTGTTAAAATAAATAAGTGGACTTTTTGTGGATCGTTGACAATCAATATATGTATTACAAAACAAAAACAAAAAAGAGAGAAGGAAATGCATATAAGAGAAGTCATGTGTATGAATAAGACTGCCTCAGTTTCTATCTAATGGGGATCAGATCAGCCTACTCCTTTCCATGCATGTGTGTGCATTGTTGACATCGTCGTGCTTTTACTTTACCAAAGAAAAAATAAAGGGTCACTGATTAGTGAATATGGAGTTAATTCACCTGTCCATTCCACAACTTTATGTAACCATTAATTTAAAAGCACTTCTATGATTTTCTGTTTTATTTTGGTAAGATTACTGTTAATAAAAATTATGATAAGTTTTGATCGATAGAGATTTAACAACAATTTTAACTAAACAACAAAATAAAAAATCAGACGACTGTGTAAAGGTTCTAAAATGCCTGAAAGTACAAGGATTTTTTTAGAATATATAACAATTGAAAGAGTGAGTATCCATATAAACAAAGATAACTCTAGATGAAATTGTCTAAGTTTATCACAAGAATTACAAGTCACAAATTATAGAGAAAGCTACTCATAATTTGATAATCTACTCCTAAAATAAAGACTAAGTTATTGTTGGATTGTTGATGATGTCCCATCTCCTTCAAACTTCTGACCTTATAGTCTTCTTTCTCCTCTTTCCTTGATCTATGATCCATTTTCCTTGAAAATTGCAGGCCACTAACCTCCAACTGTTGCTACAACTGTCCCATTTCCCTTAGAAACTGCAGGCCACTAACCTCCAACTGCTTCTGCAACTATTCCATTCCTTCCAAGCCTTCAAACTTTAACAATTCTTCATATTTCCTTTCGAACTAACTTTGCTCCATATTGCCACATACTCCTCATCATTTTGAACACTAAATCAACAAAGAAAATCTTTCTTTCATAAACCAATTTTTACACAAATCAATCCACTAAGCAACAATTATTTAATAACTGTTCCATGACTAATTTTAATAATTCACGCACTTAAACAATTCTTTCCTGCCTTGTGTCTCTTTGATCAAATGAAAGACTTTTACTCGACTTTATTGCCATGTGTTGTCATTCAATTGATCCACATGTCGATAGAAAATTTTCGAAAATGGGTGCAAACAATGCCTCCTCAACTCTTTAAGAATGAGAAGTCTTGAATTCTTGAAGAGTTATATAAAAAATTAAAGGCAGCAACCTTTTCAACAAACAAACATATATAAAATATATGCTTAAGGCTAAGAAATCTGGTGATCAAACACCACATTATTAATAATCATATGCCACATAATTGGCAAAATCACAACTCAATCCAAGTGAGCTACATTCGACAGAACATATTAGGAATATTTCAAGTATAGATGTGCAAATGACTAATTAGAACCACCTTCTACAAACACAGTATCTTTGTGCAAATACAACTGTTCGAATTTCCTTTGCTCTTGTGTTCATATTTGATTAACACAATTTAGACCAAAAAGGCTTCTTCATGCACTTGAAGATCTAATCACATGCTTTCAACTGTTAGTGTTCAACAGTGAAAATACACTTTTGCTTAATTAGTCATAATTTCGAAGATTCAAAGTCAGAATAGAGGCCACACTGAATGACCATTATCTAGCTTGCTTTATATACATTTTCTAAATGTGTGTTTTTCAAACAATGTTGGTTTATTAACCATTTTATTAAAACCAAGTTCCGGTGTGATCCACATATCCAAAAAAGATTTTGAACAACAAAAGCCATCAATGGCCTTAAAAGCTTATTACATGTTGACATCTTGAATAATGTCAAAAATTTTAAATTCATGAACATATATTTGGCTTAAGATCACACTTCTTTGTTTCACACATTAATGGGTTAGAAATATTTTTTGAAAACCCAGAAAATATTTCCTCCTTGTGTGAAATTACCTTATTGCCGGTGGAATTTTGATTCTCATGACTTTCTATTTTTGCAACCATGACAATTG